ATCAGAACTGGGACAACCATTTGACCATTGAGCTACATCATCAGTCCAAGTATTTTGGCTTCTAATATCAAGAATAACTTAATTATTATAGACTGTCACTTCTTCAGTATATAGACCTACAAATGCTGAATTTACATGTAGAATTTAGTGAATGAAAGTGGAGTGTGAAAGGAAGGGTAGGGGTCTATTAAGTACTGTTCCTTGCTGTGTGGAAGGAAAACTAGGTAAAGCTCCCTGTCCAGTGGGGCTTTGGAACTTGAGGAATGTTACTGGTGGTCCATGTATGTTATCTGACACTATTAACATTTGGGGTGGCAGTGTTAAGACAGAATCTCTCTACATAGCCCTTGCTGTCCTTGAACTCTCTGTGTAGACCAGGCTGGACTTGAACTCAGAGATCAGGGTGTTGAGATTAAGGAGAGCACCTCCATGCCCAGCTCTTCTTTTTGAGACAGGGTCTCAATATAGTCCTGAAAGGCCCCGTACTCAGAGACCAACTTGCTTCCTAGAGAGCTGGGATTAAAGGTGTGCACTAACCATGCCTGGCTATATTAACATTTCTTACTTAAGGTATTCTTTGTTGCCCCTTTCCAGGGTAAATTGTGTGGAAACTTTAGGAATGTAAATAGTATACCTCCTTCTCTCCCCTTCCCTTATTGTATTTAGTTATTTGGTTACTTTATACCAGACTTAATATTAACTGTGGTAAGTCCTTTCTAATTCTCTGGCTTTGTAATGTTTGTTTCCTTCCCATTGTATTCTTGACTTTTTTTTTTCCACAATGGAAATTTTATACTCATCAAATGCTAAAACATCCATCTTTTAAAATAAGAATAGCTAAGTCGAAATACAAAGGGAAGCCAAGCATTATCATTTTGGGTTTATGGCAACATATAAGTAGGGGAGTTAATATATTCGAGTTAGTAGTTTTGTTCTTTAGGGGACATTCAGCTAGCTAGTCAACATATTGCTAGAAAATGGCTGTAGCTAACATTGGGTTTCTAGATTTCACTAGGAGCTAGTCAGTGTTGATGGCACATTTTGAAGTTGTGATAGTCATCTGTAGCTTCGACATCAACCAGCCTCTTGTTTAGACTGTCTGCCCTGCCATTTTTTAGTTCTCATAGAGCCCAGGGATCTAATATATAAGATAATACTTCCAAGGTTGTGAAAATCTTACCACGTGATAGCAAAGAATGAGAAATACTAAGTCCGGGGATGTGTTTTTGTTGTTTTGAGATAAGGTCTCATTGTGTAGCCAGTCTGACCTTAAAATTGACTATGCTCCATCTTTAGCCTGACCAGTGTAAATATGAGTACTGGTTATTCTTACAGAGGGTCCAGGTTCAGTTTCCAGCACCCACACTGGGGCTCATGACTATCTCTAACTCCAGTTCCAGGAGATCTGATGTCCTCTTCCGTCCACATGTGGTACACATAAATACATACAGGCAAAACTCATATAAATAAAATATCTTTTTTTGGTGGGGGATACTTCTTTTTTATTTAAAAATTATTTTTCATTTTACATACCAACCCTAGTTCTCCTTCCCTCCCCTTCTGACCCCCCCCCACTTCCCAACCTTCTTCAACTCCACTCCTCAGAGAGGGTAAGGCCTTCCTTGGGGAGTCAACATACTAAAGTCTGGCATACTAAAGTTGAGGTAACAAGCCCCTTCCCCCCTGAATCAAGGTTGAGCAAGATATCCCACCATAGGGAGTGGGCTCCAAAAAGCCAGTTCATGTCCAACAAATCAAGTCACATAACTGTCACCCACATTCAGAGGTTCTAGTTTGGTCCCATGCAGGTTCCCCAGCTGTCAGTCGATAGCTGTGAGCTCCCTCTAGCTTGAGTCAACTGTCTCTGTGGTTTTCCCCATTGTGCTTTTGACCCCCTTGTTCTTATGTTCCTCCCTCTCTTCAGCTGAACTCTAGGAGCTCAGCCCACTGCTTGGCTGTGAATCACTGCATCTGCTTCCATCAGTTACTGGAATTAGGTTCTGTGATGACAATTGGGGTAGTCACTAATCGGATTAAAGGAAAAGTCCCATTCCAAAATATCTTTTTAAGGATATATATATATGTATATATATAATATTGCATGCCTTTAATCCCAGCAATTGGGAGGCAGAGGCAGGCAGATCTCTGTGAGTTCAAGGCCAGCCTGGTCTGGTCTACTGAGTGAGTTCCAGGACAGCCTCCAAAGCTACAGAGAAACCCTGTCTCAGAAACACAAAAAAAAAAAAAAAAAAAAAAAAAAAACAACCATATAGGACACATCATTGGTTGCTTCCTCTTGTGACATCATACACAAAAGAAATACCTTGCTGGAGGACAGGGTTATTTTGGCTCAAAGTTCGTGAAACAGCTCTTTACATCATGATGGGGAAGGCATAGCAATGGGACCTACTCCTGTCCATGACAGTGGGAAGCAGAAGTGTGAGGTGGCTGGTTGCATCAAAATGCAAACAGCATGCAGAGAACTGACACAAGCCCCAGAGACCGACCTCCAGTGGCCCACTTCATACTTTCTTGCCTTAAGGGTTCTACAACCTCACTCAACAGCATCATTCGCTAGGGACAAAGTGCTGGAACACACACTGACAGGAAGAACATTTCACATCCAAACTGTAACTAGAAATTTGTCAGGTAGTTAATTCTAGGAAATGCATTGTTAATAGGGTAGGTTGATCATAGATGTTTACATTGCACTTTATTTTCTTATTTCTTTCTAGACCAAGATTTACCAAGCAAATACTACTCACATCAGAATTGTTCCAACAAGTGAATACAGCTGCAAATTCATGGATTCTACTTTGATCCCACACACTCAGCATATGAGGATAGGGCCCAGGGCTATGCCCATGATAAATTCTGGCTTTTAGGGTTGAGAAATACTTTATTTGAAAGCTGTTTTTTAGAAATTAAATTTTGTAGTTATAAGAGCATGAATGGCTTCCTTGCAGATATTAAAAATTATTTTTTGTTCTTAAGAAATGATCCTAGCTGGAAGTTAATTACACATGCAAGATGCTCACACATCTATAAATCTGTTTAAATGACGGAGGCATAATTGTACCTCAACTCTCTTTACGCATTGCAGCGTGTAGAAATGAATCCCTTAGGGACCCATTTCAGTCCTAACAAGATTATGTTCCGCTGAGTAGTGGATGCTGAGTTGGATATGTATGGTCATGCTGGTAATAAGCCATTACAGTTCATAAATGTCACCTTTCCTCTGGTGTGTGCAGTCAAACTGAACTTGGTGCCTCAAGATGCAAAGTGTAATGTGTACTTACTGTTGTATGGATGATAAATCTGCCCCACAACAAGACTTGAGATGAAATGAGTGTTTACTGGCTTGTTGTGGTTTCAACACTAAAATAAGAAAGCAGACCTATTGTTTGCACGGCCTGCCATCAAATTTACAAGGTTTGCCTATCATCTATAACTAAAAACTTTAGGGACAATTTTTCTTCATTTCTGCATTCCTGACTCCTGTTAGCAAGTGAACATTATTGTTACATTAAGTTGTATTTCTTTCCACAGTTTAGATGGTAAAACTGGGTACTTGGGAGTGAAATGAGATGAGTGGGTAGTGACTATAAACCACTCCCTGCAGACATTGCAGGGAGTCTGTAAAACTTGTAACAATGCAGGTGCCTCCTCTCTCCTTTTCTTTACTTGCTCTGCCTGCTTGTGATAGGAAGAGGTGTGAGGGTCAAGAGCATGTACAAAGCAGTCTCTTCTCATGGAGGTAAGGTCAGTGTCTCCATGTCCCGCAAAGGGCGGCAACTGCTGCTCTGTGGCCCTATACATTGCGGGATCATTTTCTCCTCTGCAAGAGGAGAGATGGGAGGAGCCCCAAGTGACTGGTTAATAGATTCCATCAGGCTAGAGAAGTCAGGCATGCTAAATGCTGCTGGGACGTGGAGAAAGGAAAGGTCAATGGGCTTTTACCTCAGGAAAGTTGCACAGAAGTGGTGACATGGATAACGTGTGTGCAAGAGTGTGGGGCTGTGGATAGATGAGACCTGGGGAAATTGGACCATGGTAGGCAGCTCTTGCTGGGTGATGCCAAGAAGCAGAATGGTGGCCAGACATGACTGTGGCATTAGGGAGCTTTTTCTTAAAACATGAATGATTTTAATGCATGTTTATCCACCAATAGAAGAGACTCTCCAAATGGAGAGAGTGACCCCTCTAGGGAAAGGGGAATCCTTGTTTCCAGGAAGGAAGGGTTAACACTGACAATGATGAGTTCAGCCTCATGGCAAACCATGAGTGTAAGGATTCAGGCATTATGCTGGCCTGCCCCAGTCACCTGGTGGAATGCACTCAGGCAGTACTCTGGTCAGCCCAGGGTTCCATGAATACTTGTCTGCACACAGGTGTAAAGGACCCCTTTATAAGACAGACCCATGCCCACTTATGTGCTCTTACTGTTCTTTCTGCTCTCTCTGCTCCCCTCTCTTTCTGCTCCTGTCTCTTGTTACGATAAATCTTTCTGCCAAAAGCCGCCTGAGCCCCACCGTCACATGTGAGCTTTATGGCAGGCGCCCCCCCCAGGTGTGCCCACATGAATACACAGAAAAATGTATTAGGTACAATGCTGCTTGGCCAATGACTAGGATTCTCATCTGTTTGCTCAGTCTTAACTATCATAAACCTATATATTTTATAAGACTTATCTTATTGGATGCCTTATTGGCGTCCCTCCTTGCCGGTGGATCACATCGTGCTGCTGGAACAGGAGCGGAGAGGAAAAGAGAGCCCTTCCTGTTTCTCCTTCACTTAAATATGAGTCTCCTTGCTATGTCACTTCCTGCCTGGATCAGCACTTCTCTACTACATTTCCCAGAATCCTCTTTGACTCCTAGTCCTGCCTAACTTGCTGTTTCATTGGCCAAACAGTATTTTATTCAACAATCAATAAGATAAACATACACAGTACATTCCCCATCAGTCTCCCTCTTCTCTTCTGCCCTCCCTGTGTCTCTTTACCTCTTTTCTCTTTCCTTCCCCCTCTCTCCCCTATCTAATAAAACTTTTCACTTAAGCTCTGTCGGTCTGTCGTATTTGTCCCCCTTGGTCACCCTCGCCTGCCTGGAATCCGCCATGGTCCCCTTCGCAGGCCCCCCTTCCAGCTTTATCCTACCATTTAAACAAAAGAACAACAATGAGGTCTCTTCCTCTTGACAGGAAGGGCTCATGAGGACTGATGCTGGTGGTTCTCCAGTGGTAAGTGCAGTGTGGTCTCATTGGGAGGTTGCTGTATAGCACTGTCATCAGAGCCAAATGGCTGCCACCTCCAAGAAGTCAGCTGTAGCTCCTTGAAAAGAATCCCAGCTTGTTGACTGTTGACATTCTTGCATAGGAAGCAGTGGAGAGGGTCATGGGTCTTTCACCTGAATATCCAGCCATGCCTTTCAACAAGTTGTACAATTGTCTACCCTAATAGCACGAGGCCTCAAGGAGGTGCTAGATTATATAGACTAGGAAGAGGTGAGGAGGGCTCCCTCTGTGCAGCTATGGGGATGTCATCAATGCTGGGCAAAATTTTCCAGTGGCTGCTTTGATGGTCACCCACACTCTTGTCAGTAACCCCTCATCCATGCTCTGTAAATAAGCTAAAGAAACTCATGGGTTCCTCCAGAGGAAACTTGGTCAGAATCAAACTTCTGTTTGTCATCAGGACCTCAGGAGGAGGAAAGATAGATGGCCCATTGTCCCCTTCTCCCCCCACCTCCAGGGTAAAGTTCTCACAGCAAGAGTGGGGAGGACAGATGTGAAAGTCACTTTAGAAAGGTGGCATGAATTCCCCGAAAGTGTGTTAGTATTGAAGGTCCACCAACGAGCATATTTAAGATAGGTCTCTACAGCTGCTCAGTCATGGGGATGTCTTTGATGAGAGTTAGGTTTAAGCTGAGATGGGATTTATCCAATTTACTAAGACCCAAAGTGGAAGGAGTATTTACATGAGATTCAGAGAAGGTAGGAACAGTGGTAGAGTTAGAAGGTGGGAGAGTATGGGAGTGTTACCATCAGAAGGGTGGAAGACAGGTTTGGGCCAGGGAGTAGGACAACAATGGTGAAGATCACAGAGATGCCCCTGATGGTAAGGGTAACCAACGGCAGTTGGTGGCTACTGTTGGGGTGAAGGACAAAACATTGAGATTGTATAGGTTGCTACAATTTGTATCTAGACTGTCCCCCAAGGGCCCAGTTGTTAAAGGCTTGGTTCCCAGCTGTAATAGTTTGAAACTGCAATGTCCCTCACCTCAGTAAGCTCCTATGTTTAGTGTTTAATCCCTAGTGGGTGGTGCTATTTTGAAGAGTTCTGGGATCTTGTTGGAAGTCTTTGAAGGTTATCTGTGGTCCCTATTTCTCTAGTAAATACAGCCCTGCTGCCAGAAAATTCTTCCTCACCACAGGCCCCAATCAGTGCAGTTCCGTAACCATGGACTGACCCCTCTTAAACCCTGAGCCTTATGGTGTTTTTGTCAAGTATTTGATCATAGCCATGTAAAAAGTAATCTACATAGGAGCCTGAAGCACTGTTGGGAAGTGGAAGATCCTTTAGTGGAGGTGGCCTAGTGGGAAGACATTAGATCATTGGGGGCATGTTCCTAAAGGGGATATTGGGATACCAGCCTGTACCGGCAATGTTCATGTCAACTTGACACAAACTATAGTCATCTGAGTGGAAGGAATTTCTTTTTTTCTTCTTTTCTTTTTTTTCTTTTCTTTTCTTTTCTTTTTTTTCCTTCCTTTTTCTTTTTGGTTTTTTGAGACAGGGTTTCTCTATGGCTTTGGAGTCTGTCCTGGAACTAGCTCTTGTAGAACAGGCTGGCCTCCGGCTCACAGAGATCCACCTGCCTCTGCCTCCCTAGTGCTGGGACTAAAGGTGTGTGCTATCATTGCCCAGCGGAATTTCTTGATTGGGAAAAGTCATAACATCTGGCTGTAGGCAAGCCTATTGAGCATTTTTTAAACTTAGTAATTGATGTGGGAGGGCCAAGCCCATTGTAGTGGTACCATCCCTGGACTGGTGGTCCTGAGTTCTATAAGAAAGCAGGCAGAGAAAGCCATCATGACCAAACCAATAAGCAGCACTCCTCCACAGCCTCTGTGGGCAAACAGGACACAAGCAGAATGGGAGACCATCCTCTGCATAGCAAGGCTGGGATCTAAGCCCTGGAGACCAGAGCACAGCTGTGATCCTCAGCCCCACACTGGCCACCATAGAGGTGCTGGTATTGACACTGATGGTGACAAAGGCCACATCATGAAATAAAAAGGTTATGGAGGCTACACAACAGGCCCTGGCTTTTTAATCAACTCCAACCATAGGCTGGTGCTTCTGACACCTGAGAGAGTAAAATACTGGCTTGTGATTTGGGTGGGGCCAGTTCTGATTTGTTCCATGCCTGGAAGCAGCAGCTGTCATTGACGACTCTGGGAAACAAGTGTTGATGGTCATTCTCCTGCCTCATGTCTTTAATGTACTGCTGATCACACACAGGACCTGGTGAGGAGGAGGCTGTCTTAAGACAAATGCCAGGAGACTAGACCTGAGCAAGCCCCTGCTTAGAGGTTGGAAGTCAAGATGCTGGGCAAACAGGACGAAAGCAGACTGGGAGACCATCCTCTGCATGAAGGTGCAGGTCAGGACTGCCCCATCTCTGAGTGTGGACCCAATGGCCACCTCTGGAGGGAGTGCCCAGTCCAGGCATCCTTGGCCTTTCTGTTCAATTCTGGTTTCCATGTTCCCAGGATATACAGGCTTCAACTGACTGCTTAGCAGACCCAGGAGTACCCCAACCCTGCTGATCCTGGGAAATGCTACATCTGCCAAACTGCACCAAGTCCTAGGCTCTTGGGGCCAATTCAGCTCTCAGGCATATCGTGCTGGTAAGTCTCCCCACCTGCACATGTCCCCTTCCTGCTCCTTGTGTTGAGTTGGCTTGTTAAGGTTCTCTGTTGAAGTCTGTTATGGAAGAGGAAGTGCATGGGGAAGCCTTCAAGGTGTCTTACAGAGCACTATCTCATGGTTCTCTCATCTACTTTGAGGTAAAGCTATTAACCAGGCAATGAGGACTGTTAATTACATAAGCAAGAGCTATCCTTTATTTATTGTTTATAGGTCAGAAACCACACAGTGGAGTTCAGAGAGGTTTGGTTCGACTGGCCCCAAACTGCACACCTAGTAGGGACAGAGCACAAACCAAATACCAGTCCTGGCTTCAGCTGAGAAGTACCGCTGTCAAGGATTGAACTTTCAGTAAGAGCTCTTCCAAGCATGGCTGTGATAACTCATTCAACCCCCGAAGGCATCCCACAGGTGAGTGCTATTATTAGCCTCATTTCACAGATGAAGAAATTGAGACACAGGGACAATGACTAACTTGCCCTCGGGCATTCTGTGGCCCTAGGGCGGGATGCTCAGCCAGGCAGCCCAGCTGTAGTCTGTTGACCCAACTAATTTCAGTAGGAACCCGTTGTCCCCTGACTCTAGGTTCCTCGATCCCCTGTGCCCTCCACCCTCTGCTAACTGCTGGACCCAGGCCGTTGTCCTCCCTGAACACACCTGTGATGGGCCAGTGGCAAGGCTGATCTTGATCATCTTCAGTGTGCAGCATTTTTGCCCTCAGCCCTGCAGAAAAGCAGTCCACGAAGGACTTTTGCTTTGGTTCCCTGCATACTGGAAATGGAGAATTTGCTGAGCTGGGAACCGAAGTCTGGCTTCTGACCTCAGATGGATATAGATTCCTTCCATGATACCACTGCTGTGTATCCCTGGGTTGCCATTGTCTCTGGTGGAGATCTCTCCTGTTCTGTCAGGACTCACAGAAACACAGCTTGCTCAGTCCCCAGACAGATGACCTGCTCATGAGGTCAAAAGAAAGGCAATGGCCCTTGTCTTCTCTCCAGTCCGTTTCCTGTTTGCCAAGATAATTTTGCATTTTGCTGGAGTGTAGACTTCAGTGTATCAAACTCCCAGAGAAGGCAGGAGGCTTAGGGAGAGGCAAGGGAATGCTTTATAATGAGTGAGTGAAGCTGAAGGTCGACTTGGCGTTTGCAACAGGAACTTAATCTGTGCGACTTGGTGAAACATAGGCCAGAAAGGCTCACATTCTTTTGACCCATCGAATGAAAACTTCAGAGTATGATAATGCAGCATCCAGGAAATAACTGGGTTTTGGTTTGGTTTGCACGTGTGTGGGAGATGCATGTGTGTGTATATGCTTCTGTATCTGTGAGCGCTTTCTACCTCAGATGTTGAGGAAGGGCCTCTCTCTTGAACCTAGAGCTCTAACTAGCTGGCTTGCTCCAAGGATCCTCTGTGTCCACTCCCTGAGCACTGGGATTCCAGGTGGGCAGTATGCCATCCTGCCATTTATGTGCATGAAGGGAATCCCCACTCTGGCCCTTATGTTTCCAAGGCAACTGCTCTACCTGCTGGCCTACTTCACCAGCCTGAAACTGTTTTATATAATGAATTTCTCCACCAAATAAACATCACAGGCCAATTATCATCTTTATTCATTCAATGCACAAAGAGACTTGGTGGGGAAAGACTATCTTGGGAAATGGAATACTGACCATCCCACTTCACAAATGGTCATCTGAGGAGTGAATCTTTCCCGAAAAGTTTAATTGAGTAGGAAAGACTTATCTTGCATGGGAGTGGCACTGTCCTGTGCACTGGTGCCCCGTAGGCTGGCAGGTCTTAGATTAAGTAAAAAGGAGAAAGCAAGCTGAGTACCAGCCTTCATCTCTCTGCCTTCTGACCACAAATGCTATGTGACTAGCTGTCTCATGTTCCTGCCACCATGTCTTCCCTGCCATGATGTACCTTCAAACTGTGAGCCTAAATGGCCTCCCCTCCTTAAACTGCTTTTGTCAGGTAGCTTGTCATAGCAATGGAGACTAATGCAATAAAGGATAGCTCTTGCTTATGTAATTAACAGTCCTCATTGCCTGGTTAAATAATTACTCCGATTAAAGAAAAATTCCCCATTTAAATGTCCTTTCTTTGGCTTTGAATCCCATTAAGACTTTCAAATGATAGATGCTTTTTTTCTCAGCCGAAAGAATTTAAGGGAAATGTCATGACTGTGGTCACGTATGTCTTTCTGAGTTTTGGAGAAGCTGGTATCTGTGTGCTGCCTCCCAAGGTAGCCATTTACAAGGGGAAGGCTCACTTGAATGCACAGGTCTAAAGGATTGTTTTACTTTATTCTTAGCTCATATCTTCAAAGTAGAGTATTGGGGAATGGCCATATATTCACACAAGTATTCCTAAATAGTGAGTGATCAGTAGCCATAGGCAACAGCATCCTGATGCAGCTGATCACATTACATCAACAGTCAGGAAGAAGAGAGCTATGAGTATTTATAGAATTCTCAGCTCCTTCTCCAGCAACATATCTGTCTGCATGCTACCATGTCCCACCATGATGATAATGGACTGAACCTTTAAACCGTAAAGGCACCCAGTTAAATGTTTTCCCTTATGAGAGTTGACATGGTCATGGTGTCCCTTCACAGCAATAGAAACACTAAGACACCACATCAAATATGTGATCCTATGCTCTGTGTGCTTCGTCCTGCTACTGTGGTGAATCCTGTTCACTGACTTGTGTTTTGTGAGGTGTCCTTCTTGCATTCTTAGTCTGAATCCCACCTAACTGTGGTGAATAATGTGTTTAATGTACTGCTAGATTTGATTTGCTGTGACTTTGATGAGCATTTTCCATCTATGTCCCGTGTGGATAATGGCTTACGGTCTTCTCTTTTGTGATATGCCTGTCTGGTTTTGGTGTCAGGGCAATGCTTGTCCTGTCGGGTAAGTTTGGAAAAATTCCATCCTCTTCAACTTTTTGGAGTAATTTAGGAAGAATTGGTAGTTGCTCTTCTTTGCCCGTTTGGTAGAAACTGACAGTGGAACCACCAGGTCCCAGGCATCTCAATTGTTTTCTTAACATTTACTTTGTGTGTGTCCATGTGTATGAGCACTCATGTGTCACCACATACATGTCAAAATCAGAGAGCAACTTGTGGGAGTCAGTTTTCTACCAGGGATCAAAGTCAGAGCATCAGATTTATTGACAAATGTTCTTACCAGTTTGGCCTTTCGTTCTTATTTTTTGTATGGAGATTGAGTGCCATGGCTAACATGTGGAGGACAGAGGACAACTTTGAGAGTCAGTTCTCTATACTGTATGGGTCCCAGGGATTGAACTAGGGTTGTCAGGCTTGGAGGCAGGTGCCTTTACCTGCTGAGCCATCTTTGCAGACCCAATGGGAGAGTTTTTATTACTGATTCAATCTCTTTATGAGAATGAGCTTTGGGTTTTCTATTTGCATTGAGTCAATCTTTGTATTAGAGTTCCCTAGGAGAACAGAATGGATACAATGCATGTGTATTAAAAGGAAACTTATTAGACTGGTTCATGCAACTGTCTGAGTAGTCCAACAATGACTGTTTTCTAATGGAGGGGCTGAGACCTGACAACTGGATGCCACAACAGTCCCAGTCTGTGGGAAGTTGAGGATCTTCAGTCCTTGTTGGAAGCCTGTACAGGCTAGGTTCTAATATCAGTGAAGGAAGGCAGCAGCAGCAGCAGCAGCAGTGCAGCAGCAATGACAGCACCAGGGTGGATGAACTCGAAGTGAGGCAAAAGGCAAAAATTTCCCCTTAGGATTCCTATTATCCATCCTGCCACCCAAATACCACCCGTATTTAGAATGGGTCTTCCCACTGCTAAAAATCTGATCAAGAAAAGCCCTGCCAAGTGAACCCAGGAGTTCTTAGCTGATTCTAGATCCAGTCGAATTGACAAACAAGGTTAATGTCAGAATCTTGGTGTGAAATATGTGTCCAGGAATTTGTCCATCTCTTCTAGGTTATCAAATTTATTGACTGTAATTCATAAAACCTTAAATGCTCCTTTGTATTTCTATAAAGTTCATTGTCACCTTACCTTTCTCATATCTGATTTAAATGAATTTTTTCTTTTAAAATTAGACTAGCTAAGGGTGTGCCAATTTTATACTTTCAAAGAATTCTTTGTTTTAAAATCTTTGTAATTTTCTCAGCCTCTTAGTTGCTTCTGTTTTGATTTTTGTTGTTGTTAATATTGTTTTGTTTTAATGAGATGGTGTGGTGGTTTGAATAGGAATACTCCCATACACTCATATGTTTGAATGCTTGTCTATTAGGGAGTGTTGCTACTTGACAAGGATTAGGAAGTATGGCCTTGTTAGAGTGGGTGTGGCCTTCTTGGAGGAAGTGTGTCACTGGGGATGGGCTTTGGAGTTTCAAATGCTCAAACCAAGCCCAGTGTCTAACTCTCTTCCTGATGCCTGCCAATCTGGTTGTTGAATTCTCAGCTACCTCTGCAGCACCAGGTCTACCTGTGTGCTGCCATGCTTCCCACCACAACCATCATGGACTAAACCTCTGAATGTAAACAACACCTAATTAAATGTTTTCTTTTATGAGAGTTGCTGTGGTCATGGTGTCTCTTCACAGCAACAGAACACTGACTAAGACAGGCGTGGTCTCATTGCATCTCTCAGGCTGGCCCCAGATTTGAGACGTTCCTGCTTCTGCTTCTCAAGTGCCAGCTAAATTTCAGAGTTCAGAGCCTTCTATAGTCCCTTTAAAGGCTTTGAGGACACACAGCATAGAGATTCTGAAAGTTGAGAGCATTAAAGGGGACTGGAAGTAAGACCCCCAATACGCAGATTCACATGCTGGCACTGCTCAGCATAAGCCAAGAATGGCCAAGGGGCTGGACCATGCTGGTTCATACTTCCTGCTATGGGGAGATTGAAGCTGCAGTGCCCTTGGGTGTCCAGTCCAGTGTCCAGCCTGGTTTACAGAGAGGTACCCTAATTCCAGCCACCAGTTGTTGCATGGCCTCACTTTACAACATCCTGTAAATCACTAACTGAACCCATGTGACTCAGCCCCTCAGCCCATGTCATACACCTGGACAGAGGCTTGCATGGCCTTCTCCACTTAACTGTCACTTAAACTCATCTCCCCCCATGTGACATTTACAACAATGGCAAATTTAACCCCTCTCTTACTCCTGCCTATATTTCAGATTAACAGATAACACCCTTCTTTCAGTGGCTGCAGCAGTGTGAATGGAAAAGATTGTGGCTCAGAGTGAGGATATCAAAGTTTAGTTTCTGGTAAAACATTTAACTGTATGCTTTCTTGGGTCAGTCACTTGACTTTTCTGAGATTCAGCATTCTTGACTCAGGTAGAGCTGCCTTCCAGGGATAGGCTCAGATAACCAGCACAGAACCAAACTGCAAACTTG